AGGTACATTGTAGCTGTGGCGCTGGGTATGGTCAAAGAAGTCCCATGTGACCCAGACTGCATGGGCAGGCCTTCATCCAACAGTGGATTGATAAAACGGCCGTGCAAAATCACGTAACATACACGGCGACCAAGTAATACGTGCAATTGGCCGTTATTCGATGACCGGGAAAGAATATAATTTTGAGATGGGGGTCCTTAATGGGTCCTCCGAGTTTTCCTTCCACATTTAGAAACACGCGATTAAGGTATTTGGCTGCTGTAAATGTCCACGTGATAAGCCAGAAACGTCGTGATTTATCTTATTTTATACCTACGTGACTTTACCGAAAGAACTAAAGAGTATAAGCCAGTTTGTTGAGCTACCATTTGTGGCCAGGTCGCTTCCGAAAAAGAGCAATGCAGCTCAGTGGGCCTTACCTGGTAAAATAAAACATGCTTTAGTTTGTAGTTTTATGCAATCAAATTCTGCTGAAGGCATCGCTACATGGGGCCCTGAATCCATCGGAAATCTCACAGAGCAGTGGAAAGCCCCTTGTGTCGGAGTGTGGCCAACCACTTTTTATATCGGAAAATAAAGATGACAAAAATGTATAAACGACAATATTATTAGATGTACGCAGAGGATCATTCAAAAAAATGAAAAATGTTATCATTCAGAACGTATTGTGGGATGTATCACGTGGAATTCTGAGGCAGTCGGAAATTAAAAAGATTTTAACGTGAAATCCATACATCAAGTCGACGAGTGGAGAGCGGCTAATTATCAAACGACAGCGAGCACACGTGTAAATGTATATACAGCACAGTACGTATTGTTTTCTCGCAAGCACGATTCATCCGCAACCTGGACAATCCGCCCACGGATAATCGACGAGCAACACTGGGCGAGCTGCTTGCCACGCAGCGCTCGCGTTCTGTCCACTGCGCACGAATGCCCCGCGGACTTGGACACGTGCACCGTATTCTCACGCACGCATGCACACACGGGAACGCACACACGGGAACGCACACACGGGAACGCACACACGGGAACGCACACACGGGAACGCACACACGGGAACGCACACACGGGAAGGCACACACGGGAACGCACACACGGGAAGGCACACACGGGAACGCACACACGGGAACGCACACACGGGAAGGCACACACGGGAACGCACACACGGGAACGCACACACGGGAAGGCACACACGGGAACGCACACACGGGAACGCACACACGGGAAGGCACACACGGGAACGCACACACGGGAACGCACACACGGGAACGCACACACGGGAAGGCACACACGGGAACGCACACACGGGAACGCACACACGGGAACGCACACACGGGAACGCACACACGGGAACGCACACACGGGAAGGCACACACGGGAACGCACACACGGGAAGGCACACACGGGAAGGCACACACGGGAAGGCACACACGGGAACGCACACACGGGAACGCACACACGGGAACGCACACACGGGAAGGCACACACGGGAACGCACACACGGGAACGCACACACGGGAACGCACACACGGGAAGGCACACACGGGAACGCACACACGGGAACGCACACACGGGAACGCACACACGGGAACGCACACACGGGAACGCACACACGGGAAGGCACACACGGGAACGCACACACGGGAAGGCACACACGGGAACGCACACACGGGAACGCACACACGGGAACGCACACACGGGAACGCACACACGGGAAGGCACACACGGGAAGGCACACACGGGAACGCACACACGGGAACGCACACACGGGAAGGCACACACGGGAACGCACACACGGGAACGCACACACGGGAACGCACACACGGGAACGCACACACGGGAACGCACACACGGGAACGCACACACGGGAAGGCACACACGGGAACGCACACACGGGAACGCACACACGGGAACGCACTGCTCCGTCACGCGGCCCGCACGTGCGCGTCTCGCAGCGCCAGCTCACCGAGCGACACGTGGGAGATCCATCGCCAACCGGGAGGGGGTGCGGGGCAGGCGCCAGGTTTGGGGAGAGTGGGGGGCAGAGATGAATTGAGCCTTGGGGTAGAATGCTGGGATAGTTTAGAGATGGCGGGGGGGGGGGGGTGCATGCTCGCGAAGATTTTACTCTGGCCGCTGTTGCTGCTTTGCCAGCGCATGAACTGACATAAACACACCTGGGTGTATTTACATGTACGGCAAGTCCTCACTTGCCGCGTGTTCACACTCGAACGCGTATTTGCTATAACTCGCTTCTTCCATTAGGGAACACTTTTCACGCAACCCAGAACGCGTGCCCATTATAACACGGAATTCGCACCGCTATAACGCGGAACGCGCACCGCTATAACGCAGAACGCTCACCGCTATAACGCGGAACGCTCACCGCTATAACGTAGAACGCTCACCGCTATAACGCGGAACGCTCAAAGCTATAACGTGGTACACGCACCGCTATAACGTGGAACGCTCACCGCTATAACGCGGTACACGCACCGCTATAACGCGGTACACGCACCGTGTACCGCGTTATAGCGTTTGTCGTTTGGTTGACGACCAACGACTTTCTTGAGCTGTGCGGCTGAGTGGCACGAGACAGCAGCGAGGCGGCGTGCCCTCAGTTATTTGTCCCGCCATCTTGCTGCGCGTGCGTAGTAGTGCATCGCGTCTCTCTGAACGTTAGCGTTACATTATTTATGGGGAAATTGTTTTTTTCTCCGAATGCGTTTTTCGCTTCACGCAGCGCTTTTCGGGAACGCCTCTCCCGCGTTATTTTCTACGTGACGCCAAGTCGACAACACGCCTCCTTCCCTGACTTGGGCGTCGCGGGATGTCTATCGATTTGTCTGAGTGGCTCGCAGGCGGGCAGCAGGGACTCCCAGGGTGGGAGCCTCCATTAGAGATACACCAAAGTCCATTACCGCTGACTGACCGCTGGAATTCTGCAACGTTTAATGGCAATTTTTATTGGTTATGATAACAATAAAATGTCTCGCTTGTTTATTTCAACTTTTAACAAAATATATGTTACGTGATTTAAAATTTCTGGATAGCAACAAAATAATAATAATGTTGTGGTGGGGTGGAGTGATGGTATAGTGGTTAGGGCAATGCATAAGTGATAATCCCAAAGGGTTTAAATCAGTGAGACTCCCAACTGAAAAAAACCTTGAGAAGCCATTTTGGTAAATACTAAATAAAAATATATATATTTCCCCAATTTTTTAACGCAAACAGAAATATAAAAAAAAATCGCCAAATTAAACTTTACATATACAATAAGCTCGGGGATACAGCGATTTAAGTTATGGGGACAATCTGAATAACTGGGTGCAACTCGAAGTATCTAATGCCAAGTCCTTGAGTACATATATATCAAGTGTATATAAAGTATCTTCAAGTTTCGGTCCCAAACGACGCCCCTCTGAGTTCATTCGTGCACGCAGACATTGAACTGTCAAGCACTGCAGTAGGCGAGGGCGAGTCCACTTTAGGAGAAACGAAGGGGGGGTTTACTCAACGAGCTTGCAAAGCAGCAATAGGCCGCTCAGTGAACTCCCCCATAGTTAATGAAATAACAAATAATAACCTTGAATAGTTATTAATTTCCCCTCTTGTTCCTCACTGAAAGGGTACGATACCGAAGACTAAAATCCAAGTATGGAAAAACAAATCGCATGGCCCCGGTGGTAGCACGTTCACTACTCGTTGCAAAGGTTCGCGGTTCAACTCCGGCAGGCCGCCCCGGTTATGACTGCGAGCGTATTTAACAACAAAAGTACTGAGCGCCGTCTGCTTCACAGTGACGTCAATTGCTACGAGGAGGCCACGGTGTGCCGGAGTCATGGTTCACATTATCCAAATTCAAAACTTTCCCGCGGGTTGCTCAATTGAGATTAGACGCAGCAGCGACCATCGCCGCCTCTTACTGCCGGACTGATGCCCACTTGCAGGCCAGGCACCGAATCGCCGCGCGCCACACAGGGACAGCTGCCGCTGGGGGCGCCCATTTAAACGTGTCGAGACGCGATGCGATCTAAGTCGCGTATAAAGCGCCCCGAGATGCCCTCGGCTTAATGGAGAGTGGCTCTATCAAACACAAATCATTTCAATGATTATTAGGTGTTCACATATTCCTTCTGGGGGGATAAATAATCGTGGAAGCAATATTCCTTTCGCCTATTTGTTCCCAACGTCCTTCCGTCAGCTGGACGGGGATGGGGCTGGCGGAGGAGTGCGTGTCCAGCCGGGAAGAGCTTTGCGATCGATGCTCGATGGGGAGGGGGGTGGGATGTAAGCCTCTTGGAACCACAGACTCTGGAGGAGACGCTAATGCCAATGCGTCTCTCGGCTCTCTTACTGAGCCGAGCGCTTTAGGGAAAAGATGAAGGGAAATATTTATGCCGTGTCGAGCTTTTAAGACGTGGTGATGTTTTCCGGTTGAACCAGCAGTTCATTGATTCGTTTTAACGCGTAGGCTTTTGCCAACAATGTTCAGATTCATTATTGATATTTGGGTCAGATCGGATGAGTAGATTGTGTGTCGTTCACCCTCCTCCACCCAATTGCCTGACAATGCTGGTTGTAACTACCAATGAAACGTCGTACCCAGTTATCGTGTGGATCGCTATCAAGCACACCGGTGTGCCGAAGCGGTAATAAATTGGCACGCTAATGCACGTGACAACTTTATTCATTGGTTGTGTCGGATGGAGGAGGGTTGTACGACACAACATTTTACTCACGTGATCTGATGCAAAAATCATTTAGGAATGTTATCCATACTCTTTGGTTCTTTCGGTAAAGTCACGTAAGAACCAAAGAGTATGGATTCCTGCAGTGACGAAAGCTTCAAATCATTTAGGAATGTTATCCGCTTTATTTTGTCCGTTAGCCGTTTACGTTCGCGGCTACGCATCGGATTTACAAAGCGGCTAAACGCAGCTGCTGCTTCTCAAGGTGTGGCTGCTTACAGCCACGCGAGGCGTTCGCGTTACCTGCGAGCTGTTGGCGTGGCACCGGTGCGTCCCTGCGAACCAGCCGGCGCTCTCCTCCGCGCACTGATCAATTTCCTGGCCGTGTAAGTCCAGGTCCAGCCTCAGGGTGCCCCTGTAGCCAGCAGTAGCAGCAGCAACAACGGAAGACAAAGATCAGCCACGAAGGCTTTCACAGACTGTTGAGTGCAAGTGCTGTCAGCGAGCAGCTATTTAGGCCTCCACGGAGCACGAGAGAGTGGTGTGGTGAGATCATCGCCCAGGCATCGTGCTCTCCCCAAGTGCTCGTGTTTACATTCAGCAACAGACAACTCATTTAGGGCTGAGTCGACCTTAGGGGGAGACACGGGGGAGGGTTCAGGTAACCACTGACGTGAGCCAAGCGCAGGATATCAAACTCGGACTTGTGGGTTCGTAGCGCAGGGAAATACGCACCAATTTTAGGATGAATTTGAAAATGACATGGATTTAACAGACGAGGTGTCTCGGGCAAAACAAATGTTTTTTTGTTTGTTATATTCAATGAAAGGCACAACGTAAAGTGGCTAAGTAAGGTATGGGTATAACTTGTGGAAGGTCTTCGCTTTGCCGACCGGTCACGTCATTTCAAGGGCCCAGATGTTGAATGTCTCCGTGTGTTTGATGAGGCCGAGAATGTTTTTTAACCAACACGAGGAGACCCCGTCGAGTGACCCTCACGGCAAGATGCCACGAGTAACTTCCTGCCACAACATCAGTTATTTTGGTATCCTTCTACAACTAAAGGGTAAAGGCGCATCCCTGCAATCGCTGGTTCATGCCACTGCGGGTGGAAGATCCCCACTCTCGGGGACCCCAGGCGAGACCCTCTCGAGGGTGTATTTGGCCTGCTCTTCCGCGCCGGCCGGACATTTTGGAAGACACGTTAGATCACCCACACTTTACCCCACCGCGCATGAACTGCCGATCACCTATGAACTCTGCTGCAGACGTTCATAATGCTGGGTAGACAGAGGCGGGGAAGGAGCGGGGGGTTAAGAAAGCTGCCCCATTGTGTCCACTGCCGGGCTGGGAGATCGAAGTGGTGACCTCCGGATTGCGAGTCTCGTATGTAACCATGGCAGCTTCCCCATTACGCAAAAAAAAATCTGCTAATCTGGCACTGCCAAAGCCTCAAGTGAAAGTGTCTTCAAGCTCAAACAAGCACAGCCCCCCCCAACCCTCCCCCCTTATGGCCGTGGTATAATTTCCACATTTCTATGGAAGGTGCCAGTCTCAAACAAAAGACAACCACCGCTGACTTTCACCAAAGTTGTCCCCATCTTTATCAGCCCCAGGAGGACGCAGGCCTGCGTCGTGTGCCGACCAGGATTTTAACTTAAGGCTTTCCAATTGTGATCAGAGAACCCTCAAACATCACTGCCCCGACCAGACAATGTCAAGCCACGAGCCGCTCCGTTTTTTGACAGCAGCCCGGCATAAAGTTTTGCCCACCGTCTGATGCATCCCAAGGTCACCAAATTAGAACAATGTCCCGGAACTGTCTTACTTGCACCCCACATTATGTCTATTTTTGCTTCCACAGTACAATTCTAGATAATCGAAAGCATTATTCACAAGAGAAATGCAGGCGCGATAGGGTACTTTTCACCAGACCTTCATAAAGCGCGCTCGCGAACGAACACGCACGCAGATTAATTTGCATTAATGGACAATTGACCTTTACGTAATGCAACTACGCCTAATAGGGTTACGTGGTATTTTGCTGTTTTATAGTAGCGCCGAACCCAGGGCTATTTCCGAATTATGAGCGCAGCGCCGAGCAGATCCTTACCCAGATTGGCGCGCTGTGCGCCCCTGCTGCACATCACGTTGCACACGGGCAAACGCACTCCGAGCAGCCCCTATCGGCGAGCCGCATTCCCCTCCACGCTGTCCAAGCCGGAGCCAACGTCTCCGCTTGATTTGCCCGTGGCAACGCGGGGGAGCCCATTAAGATCAGCGCGGCGAAACAAGAGCAAGAAGAAGAAGAAAGCCCCACACATCCGTACAGCCTCGAGGTGGCCGGGGTTTTGTTTTGAGATCCGCGGACACGTCTACCCACGCATGATGTATCGACACGTCCCGTCCCGCGGGAGAAACGGCGCTCGTAATTGATGCCCCTGCCACCGCCACCACCAGCGAGGGGGTCTGGAGGCGCTCGCTCGCTCGCTCGCCACCGCGGGGCCCGCCGCGCTGCGCGGGCGGCCGCGAGTTTCATCTGCCGATGGAGCCGCTCGTCACGGCCCGTGGGCTCGCTGCACATCGCCCGCCGCACTGTTTGCTCGCTGCACGGGTCGCTCGTTGCATGTCACTCGCGGTGGCGTTCACTCGCTGCACATCACTCGCAATGCAGTTCGCTCACTGCACATCGCTTGCTGCATCTCACTCGCTACGCGGTTCGCTCGCTGCACGTCGCTCCCTGCACTTCGCTCCTTGTGCGGTTTGCTCGCTGCACGGCGCTATGTGCAGTTCGCTCGCTGCACGGCGCTATGTGCAGTTCGCTCGCTGCACAACGCTATGTGCAGTTTGCTCGCTGCACTGCGCTATGTGGAGTTTGCTCGCTGCACAACGCTTGTGCAGTTCGCTCGCTGCACAACGCTATGTGCAATTCGCTCGCTGCACAACGCTATGTGCAGTTTGCTCGCTGCACTGCCCTATGTGCAGTTTGCTCGCTGCACCGCGCTATGTGCAGTTTGCTCGCTGCATGTCGATCTATGCAGTTCGCTCGCTGCACATCGCCCGCTACCTGCACTCGCTCGCTGTGCGGTTAGATCGCTGCAAGTCGCTTGCCGCACGTCGCTTGCAATTTTTTACAATTTTCAGAGCAAAAATGCCAAATAAGGTCCCCATTCAGGCCCCCTCGGAGTTGATGCCCAGGGCAAACTGCTCCACCTTTGCCCCCCGCCGCCAACTGCGGCCCTCTCTGCTGCTACGGCTGAGGGCTGCTCGCTCGCCACCTTTGGCCCGGCACTTTTAGTGCACGTTTGGCGGCTTTCATCTGCTGGTCGGCCGAGCCGTATGGGGTAAGGTTCAATCATCCGTCCTGCCGGTGGACCGCCTCTGAAACGGCTGTGCGTGGTTTGGGAACACAGCGCCGTCTGATGCCGCGTTCTGAGTTTCATCAACCAGAGCAGGTGGCTCTAATCGAGAAACCTGGGGGGTGGGGTAAGTGGGGGGCGGGGGGAGATGAAATGTAATTTAAAAAAATATATGTATTATAATAAATTAATAAATATAAACCACCCGCTGCCTATCTCGTCGGAACCCAATTAGCCATATCTGGCTTAGGTCGATTAATGAGACAGGTAGGGAGGGAGGATTCAGTGCCCGGTCCAAACTCGCTCCGTGGTGTGAGTCACGGCGCTGACAAGGCCTGAAGGGGGCGGGGGGAGGCGGGGGGAGGCGGGGGGAGGCGGGAGGAGCCACGGTTTTGATCTCAGCGGCGATTTCTGAGATTTATTTTAATTCAGAATCTAGCATTTACCAGGAATCTAACGATTTGCGCCCACAGCCCCCCCCCCCGGCGATTTGACAAATTGTCACATTCAGGTTTACAATACGATTTATCGTAATTATGGTCTTATTTATATTGTTAAGTCTTCTTTGTACTACCTGGTGTGGAATAAGAGCTTCACAGCTCATCGGATTTCTAAAGTATAAATCAATATTCTGATTCTTTATAATTAGCGTTTGGACAGCATTGCGGTGGTTAAAGTGCCCAAGCCTCCAACCTGTTTGCCCCTCCGACTCACGACAACTGATGGCCTCTGATGTATTTTGGTCACTTTTCATCTCGCGCTGCATGGACCCTGGCGTGTGATGGCGATGGGCTACACGGGCAGAATGTGTGCGCGTGTTCTCACCTCTCCACATGTATGTGTGTGTTCTCATCGCAACTCATACTCCGCAAAATCACCATTGCCACCAGCACTGCCATCTTCATTCACCAGGACCTCACTGACGTCCCTCCGCATCGCTTCAAGTCCCAGAGTCTGGAATGCTATTTCCAATAAACTGCAACTTGAATCGCTACCAATGAGATCTTCTCTAAAAACTGCTCTAGAGGAGTTGTACACCCCTAGCTGCCACTGCTATTCATTGGCGTAAAATAAATTAAAATATGTTGCTCCGGATGACGCTGCAAAGTATTATCTGTATTTTGATTGAGCGTGGTGATCTTAAAGGTGCATTGGAAAATGTGATACTCCGACTGATGCTTCTATTGTTGTGGAGTAACTCATGCAGCCAGCTATGGCTCTAGGATTTGGTGTTACATGTTATTTATGTAGTTTATTGTAAACATTCGGTCACAGTCCCTGTGATTACAGTTACGTTGCAATTATGGCTTTATTTTTTGGTGATTTCGAAAAGTTTTTTGGTTTGAACATGTTTGTTTTGTTGTAGTGCGGAGTTAGACTGATGGCCTTAATCTAAGTTTTCTTGTGGTTGTTGTTGTTGTTGTTTGACTTGCATCCCACTGGGACTTTTTGCACACAGCGTTGGTGTACGGTGCTTTTTTCAGGAATATTTTGCTGTTTTTTTCATGGATTTTATGTTTGCAGAGTCACATAGTCACTTTAAGATGTTTTTCTTGTTCGTGTTTTTGTTTGTTGTGGCTCAGGATTATACCAAAAAAAATAAACTGAAAACTGATATAAACTGAATGTCCTTTTGGACCCATGCACTTAACCTTAAACGATGCGAATTCAACCCCCGATTAAGCTTGAGGAGCCGAATGGAGTTCAAAAGAACTCACAAACACCTTGTTGTGAAAGACCAAACACAGAAGATCCCTAGGGTTTGATCTTCCACGAAGCTCATGGTCCGCCCTAAAACACATCCACTGCGCAAACCACAGCAGCAGACGTGGATGCACAAATTGAATATAAACACTCTCCAACAGTGTGCTACTGCGGTCATCCAGAACAAACAGTACAACGTAATAACGACGGAATGCCCGATCCACACATACGAAGGAGACATCACAGCGATACACTCCGCTGCTCATGACGTGGTTGTCTGGCTTGACCACCTGAATGTGAAATTGTGGTTGTCGCTCTGCATCTACATCAACTATAAGAAATAAATAAACTG